CAGCCGAGGGAGGGTGGGGGCGGTTGGATGGGACTGGGGTGTACGGGGGGCCAGAGAGTTGAGAAGGCAAGGGGATGGGCAGCAACGGGCAGGGGTTGGGCCAGCTGAGGGCAAGGAAAAAGGGCGGGCAGAGGGTGAGCAGAGGGGCGAGCGGTGCAAGGGAGGCACCAGAGGGAGGAAACCAGTTGCATCAAGGTGGGAGGTGAGGGGCTTGCAGGGGGGTGGAACAGGGGTAGGGAAGGGGCAGAACGGGAGGATGTGGGTAGGGGGGGTGCGGGGAGAAGAGAGAGAGAGAGAGAGAGAGAGAGAGAGAGAGAGAGAGAGAGAGAGAGAGAGAGAGAGAGAGAGAGGGTAGGAACGAGAGGGGGCTTGGGGTTTTGAAGGGCTAATGGTAGTAAGGGGGCAGCAAGGAGGGGGAGAAGGGGGGCGTAGCAAGGGGAAAGCAAAGGGCATGGGGGGAGGAGGGGAGGGGAAGGGAGGGAAGAGGCTGAACGTACAATGCGGAGAACCGAGGGGCATGGATGGTAGGGAACAAGGGCAGAGGTGCGGGAAATCAAGGGCAGGGAGGGGAGAAGCGATGGGTGCGGGCAAAGCAAAGGAGGGGCAGAGGGGGTACAAGGTAAGCACAGGGAGGGAAATAACGCGGGGCAGGGAGGGGAGAAACCAAGGACAGGGGCACGAGCAGCCAGGGGCAAGGAGGGAACGGAGGTGAGGCACGGAGAAAGCAAGGGAGGTGCAGGGAGAGGGGAAACCGAGCGTGGGGGGGTGGAAAACGAGGGGCAGGGCGGAGAGGAGGGAGAGGCAGGGGGGGGGAGAAGCTGAGCACACAGAGGGGGGAAACATGGGGCAGGGAGGTGGAAAGCCAAGGGCAAGGGGGGGAGAGTGGAGGTGCAGGGAGAGGGGGGAGGAGGGGAGCGGAGAAAAGCAGCGAGGTGCAGGGAGGGGAGACACCGAGCGCAGAGGGGCCAGAAACGAGGGGTGGGGTGCGGATTGGGGAGAGGCAGGGAGTGGAGTAGCTTAACGAGTGGAAGGAAGAAGCGTGCGGCAGAGTGGGGGAGGGGGGAGGAGAAGGTAAACGAGGGGAGGGCACGGGCGGGGAGGGACGAGCGGCGGGCGGTGGGAAACGGCAAGGGGGGGCAGGGAGGGTCAAAAGAGGCAGCGAGGGAGCGGGCACACGGAGGGTAGGGGCGGGGGGAGCGGATGGCACGAGGGGGCAGGGGGTGTGACTATGAAGGGGGAACCCGGGCAAGGGGTGTGTACCGGTCGGGGCACGGGTCGGACGTGGTACGATCATACCTCGGCTAACACACCGGATCCCATCAGAACTCCGAAGCTAAGCGCCGGTGGGCGAGAGCAGTTATTCATTAATAAGGGAAAGTCAAATACAAGCCGAATATAATGGTTTTTCCAAAACTAGGAAATTTCGGCATGAGTGATTCCCTATGAGGACGGTTTATATAAATATGTGTATATATAAATATATTTGTAGAAAAGGGGGAAAGAAGAAGAAAGGTTCGAGAAGTGAAAAGATGTAGGGAATAGAAAAGAGTGGTAAGAAGAGAAGAGGAGGACAGAAGAGGAGAAAGGAAAGAGGGATGTGGGTAGAGAAGAGGAGAAAGGGAGAGAGACTAAGGGGAAGGGAACACCCCGGGACCAAACACGGCAGCAACCCGCCCAACAGCGCGGGCACAGCGTTTCAAGCACAGCCACTAAATTTTCTACACATATGCATCATACATATATTGCATATCGACGACACTCTCGAAGCACCCTGTGATGTGGTGCTAGGTACCCTGCCCCGCACCCAAAGGAACTGGTGCGGGCATCCACCCATCGTCGGATCCCCCCAACTGCCGCACCGCATGCTGGATGATGCATTAAGCCTGCGCAAGCTGCAGTGCCACGGAGAGACGTGTAGTAAGTCCTGTCTCGAATATCCGTGCCGATCCGTCATCCCCCCCTCCCAAATCCCTCCTCCGCTGTGCTATCCTCTTCGCGCAGAGCCGTAGGAACTGTCGCAACGGCTCGCTCAGTAGCCCGAAAGTCCCAGCTACGCACGCGTAAAACTCTGGAGCCGGCTGCAACCCCTCTAGGTGTGGCCCCCAGTGACGCAGCTTCTCCTGCCACACCCGTCTAGCTGCTGCCACCCCAATCTGTGTGGGGGTCGATCGTCTCAGCTGCACGTTCCCCTCCCGCTGTGGATCCGCTATGGAAACATCCGCCAAAACCATCAGTGTCTGCCCCACGTCCCGGCAAGTGAGGTCTGGGATGCGGGAGGAGGTGCCTACCCGGCCTGTGCGTTCGGCTGCTCCCTGCTGCTGCGCTGGCTGCTGCCCTGTCTGGTCCCTCAGTGTCCCCTCTCCCGTCGTCTCTCTCCCCCTATCCTCTCCTCCACCCCCCCTGTCCTCTCCCCTCCTCCTCTCTACCCTCCCGCAAACCTCCCAACCCCTCTGCTCGATCCCATGCTGCCTCTCTCACTCCCTGATCCTTCTCTCCCCCTCCCGCGCCCTCGTCCACTCTCCGCTGCTCTCGCCCCTGACCCAACCCCAAGCCCAAACCTGGAGGCGTGGCACCCTAAGCCTGCGACCTCTGCTGGCTCTCGTGCTGCTGCCTCTGCTGTCCCCCCTCCCCGCCCTGCCTGGTCGGCTCTCCCTGCCGTCCCCTCTGCCCGCCTGCCCCTCGCGCCACCAGACCCCGCAGCTAATGCTGTCCCCACTGCCCCCCGCCGCCCGGCCGTCCCGCCTCGCTCCCCTGCTCCAGAGGTCCCCTCACCCGTGTCCCCTCTCCCACCCCCGGCTGTCCCTGCAGTCTCGCTCGAGCTGCCTCCAGGTGTGTGAACAGCGTGGAGTCCTCCACCTTCACCGCGAAGCCCGCCTCGACTGCAAATTCTCGAAGCATGAACTTCACCGTGTCGTGGATGGTCGTGGCGACGCCGAATCGTGGACACCGCACCGCGTGGTGAGGCACGGTCATGTCGTCGATCGCCTGCCCACAGGAATACTGACCTGCGAGGGCTAGCTGGGGGACAGGGAGACCAAGACGAGATGATGAAGCCACCTGCCACAGCGCCTCCGGAATGCGCAGGGAGTCTGCGTACGGTACCGCCTGCAGCCACGCTCCTGCACCTACGCCCTGAAGGGAAGTCAAACGGGCAAGGTGCAAGGGAGAGGTGTGACGGGCACGCACGGCCTCCAAAGCGTGCGCCTCCAAGAGGCGGCTCGCTCCTGCAAAAAGGGAATGGGTCGGGGGAGGCAGAGGCACAGGAGGGCCAGGGTGGGAGGAGAGAGAGGATGTCAGCTAGGAGGCCCTCCAGCGTCGTCCGCAGAGACGGGTCGATCTGCTCCACCTCGCCTGAAACGAAGCTCTGCCGGAAAACCTCGCCGCACACAACGAGAGAAGAAAGAATGGGTGAGCACAGCACCCAAGAACACACGTAACTCACCGAGGCGATGCGCTCCATGCGACGAATGCCGAAGCCCCCGAGACGGATGGGGAGGAAGATCTGGTCTAAGGCTGCATCTCGGACGTCCTCGCGGCATGCCCAGGTCCCCGACGCTAAAAGCCGCTGGAAAGTCTCTCCTAGGCGTGCGTCCCACCGTGCGAAGCTGGAGAGAGCTGCGGGCGAGGGAGGGACGGTCCTCGACAAATACTGCGGGCGAGTGCTGACGCATGCCGAAAGGAGGCGAGCAGCTGTCTGGGGCTGGCGCAACCTCGGGAGCCACGGTAGCACCCGCCCCATCTTCTTGAGACGAGTTGGGAGACCGCGCTCCACAAACGAAGGAGTGCCCACCGGCATGCCTGTCATAGTGAGTCCTCGGCGTGCGACCTCGATCCCCAGGCTCGTGAAAGCCTCCGTGTCCCTTGACCTGTAGGCCTCTGTCTGGTAGACGAGGCACTTGTGCGACTGGACCGCAAGGCCCATCTCGCCCAAGCGTCTCACGATCTCAGCAAAATGGTATAGTACCCTCTCCGGGGGGCCTAGTACGTACGTGTCGTCGGCGTATGACCAGAGCTGGACATCGCCCTCTGTCAGAACTGGCTCCAGGGCAAGGCGCTGTGTCAAAGCGTACAGGAAAGGGCTGAGGGGGTCTCCCTGACGAGTGCCGCGCTCCGAGTGCATCGTGACCACTCCCCTACCTGACCTGTAGTGGAGGTCCGAGGGTGTCCTGTAGAAGAGGCCGATAAAGGGGATGAGACACTGGAACTCCGGGCTGGCCTGCAGAGCCTCGAACATCCTGTCTTGATGGAGTGAGTTAAAGGCGTTAGCCACATCTAGCTGTAGGACCACCCAGTCTGGGTGGTCAGCCAGAGCACGGCGGACGCCTCTAACTACGACCTCTGTGCCGCACGTCACCCCCACCCCAAACTGCTGTGATGCCAAGAAGACCCTCGCCATCTGGTCGCGTAGCTGGAGGCAAACTGCTCGCGACAGAATGCGAACCAATACCTCGCCGATGGCGATCGGCCGAACGTCCATGTTCGACTTCGCCAGAGCCACGAGGGTGGAGGACGCTAGCAAAGAGTGCGCAGCTGGAGCACAGCGACCTCGGAGCCACTGCTGGTACACAGCTAGAAGGAAGTGGAGACTTTGGGGAAAAGCCAAGAAAGTGTCTCGGAGGTGCTCCGCGACCCACCCGGACGGTCCTCCTGAGGAGCCCCGTGGGGCCGTGTGCATGGCGCGACGTAGGTGATCCTCTGAGAGCACGAGAGCAGTCCCCTGAAAGCCCGACAGCCCAGCTGGAATCGGCCTCTCCGCGTGGGGATGCTTCGACTCCAGGCGCCGTATCGTCCCATCCTTATCTGGGGCTGCCTCCGCGGACTCGAGAGCCGCGCAGGCCCGTGACGTCTCATTGCATGCTGCCAGGCGAAGGCAACGTGCAATGCGACGCTCATCTGCGTCGGACTGGGTAGTGGCGGGCCGTGCGCGCTGGGATGTGCGCCGGGGAAGGGGGGTGCGACGGATCAGTGCCTCAGCAAGTAGCTCTGTCCACTCACTTCGCATGAAGCGGGAGATGCGTGCAGCGATGGCCGTCGTGTGCGAACGGTCGGGAGGGGTCGCCTGTGTCAGGAGAAGTGTGGGTGCAGCGGCGAGGAGGAAGGTGGGGCCTGGTGCCCCTGGAAACTGGGATATACGGGACGAGATCGTACAGAGGACGTCAAGGTATCCTCCGCGGACTCTCGGCGGGACTCGACGGAGAGGGCGGGCGTGGGCGCGCTCTGGCGTGAAGTACTCCGACCAGTCGTAGGAGTCCAGCATCTGCAACTGTGCATCTGTAAAGTGTGTCCTCGTCCCCTGTGGCTGTGCAAGGGATGGGAGGACGGATGTAGCATCGTGGAGGGCCTGTGCCCTGCGAGCTGCAGAAGGGTGTGTGGTGCTGGAGCGCGCGTCGGTTCGCAAGGGAGCTCCTGCAGGTGGGGCATATCACGACTTGGTCGGGTGATGTCGCCGTATCGGTGGGATCGATCGGGGCCGTGGTGTCAGAACTAGCTGTAGAGGGGACCCCATCACCGCCCTGAGCACGAGAAGGGTCGCCTGGGATAAGGGGAGAAGAGGACTCACCGTCCCCGTGCAGGGGGGGTGGCGGCGGCGATGGTGGTGGTGCCACACTGGGTGGGGCCGGGGCCCTTGGCAGTCCGCGCCCCGAAGCCAGGGAGGGGGAGTGTGGCGGTGAGTCTGAAGTGCATGCCATGGTGCGCCCCCCTCCCTCAGCGGTGTGGGGTCCGGGTGGCGGCTTTGCTATCCCCGCTGGAGGGGTGTCTGCAGGGGGGGAGGCCTCGAACCTGATACTGGTGCCCTCCTGCGCCACGGGTAGTGTGTCGGCAACAGGCTGCATCGGGGGAGGCGCCACTACATCTGGGTGCGGGTGGCACGGCCTCGGAACCAGGTCCGTCTCCATCGGGGACGGGAGTGACACGCCTAGCTGAGTAGTCGGTGGGGTAAGAGAAGGAACAGAGCGAGTGACCTCCGCATACGTCCGGGTCCGGACCTGTGGGGCTGGTAGGGTGGGGGCAGCCAGGGAGCTGCTGGGGCTCTGTATCGCCAGCAAGTCTGAGATTGCAGCCCTCACCTCCTGCGGGGTCCCGGTGACCTGCCCGCCTGGTGGAGAAGGTAGGAGGGCTGGCAGGGTAGAGGGTGGGGTGGGGCGTGCTGGCTGGGTGGGGCTCGGGTACGGTTCCTGCTCTAGAAAACCCCCTTGGCTCTCCCCCGAGACCATGGGTTGCGGTAAGGGGCCGTCGACACGAATGGGGTGTGAGGTATCGGAGGAGGAGTCAGTAGCGTCTGCCATGGGCACATCCCTCCTCTCGTCGGCCTCCATCCCGGCGGCGCCCGCGGTTGCCGCCACCTGGGGGGGATTTAGAGGAAGGGAGAGGCATCCCGGGAGTGGGTGGGCTGGATCGCTCCCCTGGCCCTGTAGGGAGGCAGGTACGGGAGAGGGGTGTGTGTTTGGTGGTCGGCCTATAGGGGTGAGGCCTGGTGCAGGTTCAGCGGGATGTGGGGTGAGTAGGGGCGCCTGGGGGGGGGAGGGAGGGGGGAGTAAATGAGCTGTACCCTTGCCGCCATTGTCTCTCTTCTTCCGTCGGCGGCCAACTTGGTGTTGTCCATCCATGCCTGCTGCTTCGGGAAGGGGAGGCTGAGAGACGGAGGGGGTGGGTGGGGGGAGCATGGGTGGATGGCCAGGTGGGGGAAGCTTAGTGTTCATCCCCTCCCTCTCCAAGGCATCCCCCTCCGTGGGGATAGGCCGGGTGGGCTATGCGTGGGGGGCGATGGCTGCCCAGCGGGGCCACTCGTGGGGAAGGGGGCCGAAGGAGGGGTTTGTGGGTGGAGGGGAGCGAAGGGCTGGAGTGATGTACACGTTAGGGCGTTGTGCCTGCGGTGGGAGGAGTGAGGTCTGAGCGGAAGCATTAGCGGGGGGTGAGGGTCCGGCACGAATCCCCCCTCCATCTCCTTTGGAGCCCTGTGGAGTGGCGTGAGGTGCTGGTTGGTTCGGTTCCCGGAGGTGGGCAGCCAAAGGTGCAGGTGGAGGGCGGCATTGTGGGATGGTGTAACGGTTGGGACTGGCTGCCTGAGGCTGGGAGGCCGAAGGTGGTGATGGGGGTGGAGGTGGAGGGGTGGAAAGAAGGGGTGGGTTCTGGGGCTTGTCCTTATGAGGGGTGCTGCCCTGGGCGTTCCTATCACCACACCCTCTCTCTGTGAGCCCCTCCACCAGGGCTCCTTCACCCCTCTGTGCCGATGGGCTTGGTCCCTGTGGGTCGCTCCCACCAGCCCGGGGAAGGTGATGGAAGGGGTGGCGGGTCGGAGGTGTGGATAGCATGGGGTGGGAATTAGAGGTTGAACCCCACACCTCGGAGATGTGTACCGCTGTGGGAGGGGGGAACCTGGTGGGGGGGGGGAGGTAGGGGCTGAGTGTCCGGGGTCGGGGAGCAAGGCTCCTCTAAGAAAGCCCTGGCCTTGGCTGCCCCGCCGATGACATGAGAGTGCCTGCCAGGGCATGGGAGGGGTGTTCCTAGGGGGGGGTGGGCTGAAAGGTAGGGGTGGATGGAGGCGCCCTCCAAAAACCTAGTCCTCGTTGTCTCCTCTGATTCCTCCCTTGGTCCACCTGCTAGTATGTGGTTTGTAAGTAGGGGAGAAGGGGAGGTCTCACCATGGGGCAGCGGGGGGTCTCTGTCGTCCCCGTCCGTGGGGGTGAGGTAGTGGGCCAGAGGGCCGTCAATGAGCATCAGGTCTCCCGCTCCGTCCCCCCCCAAAAGAGTCATAACCACCTCTCTTGCTTCCCCCCTAGGTGGGCCCGTTCCTTTCTCTCCTATCCCCGCTGCCCCTTGGCCTACTGCGCCTGGACCCACTGCTGGCCCTTCACTGGCAGCACCCATTTCAGCACCTACCGCTCCTGGCGTGGCTTCTGCCGTCCCTGCTGGGGCCTCCGCCTCCCCTTCCAGGGCCTCTGCCGCCTCTGCTGGGGCCTCTGCCGCCCCTGCTTGGGCCTCTGCCGCCTCTGCTGGGGCCTCTGCCGCCTCTGCTGGGGCCTCTGCCGCCCCTGCTGGGGCCTCCGCCGCCTCTGCTGGGGCCTCTGCCGCCCCTGCTGGGGCCTCTACCATCTCTGCTAGGGCCTCTGCCGTCTCTGCTGGGGCCTCTGCTGGGGCCTCTGCCATTCCTGCTGGGGCCCCTGTCATTCCTGCTGGGGCCTCCGCCGCCCCTGCTGGGGTCTCCGCCGCCCCTGCTGGGGCGGTTGCCGCCCCTGCTGGGGCCACCATCGCTCCTGCTACGGTCTCTGTCACCCATGTTGGCTGCGTTATGGCCCCGGCGGGTGTAGCCCCCTCGCCTACCTTTGTAGCCTCGACTGTCCCCTCTCCTCCTGCAGCCTCAAATGAGTCTTCCCCTGCTGCCGTTAGGGCTGCACTCTCACTTGCCCCGGTCCCAGCCACATACTCCCCCACCTCAGCCCCTGTAGGCTCCTCACCTGTGGCAGCTCCTGCTGTCCACCCCTCTGCTGCGCTCCCCCCTGCAGCACTCCCCCCGGCGACTCCGGTGCCGTCCTTGGCAGCCCCTGCCGCCCCTTCCCCTGCAGCCTCTGCTGTTCCTTCCCCTGCTGCCTCTGTTGCCTCTTCCCGTGCAGCCACTGCTGCCCCTTCCTTTGCAGCCTCTGCTGCCCCGTCCCGTGCAGCCTCTGCTGCCCCTTCCTCTGCAGCCTCTGCTGCCACTTGCTCTGCAGCCTCTGCTGCCCCTTCCTCTGCAGCCTCTGCTGCCACTGTTTCTGCAGTCTCTGCTGCCCCTTCCTCTGCAGCCTCTGCTGCCCCTTCCTCTGCAGCCTCTGCTGCCACTTTCTCTGCAGTCTCTGCTGCCCCTTCCTCTGCAGCCTCTGCTGCCCCTTCCTCTGCAGCCTCTGTTGCCACTTTTTCTGCAGCCTCTGCTGCCCCTTCCTCTGCAGCCTCTGTTGCCCCTTCCACCACCGCCTCACTTTCCCCTTCCCCTGTGGCGTCTGTTGCACATTTCCCCCCAGCTCTGCCATCTCCCACTTCTGTGTGCTTGGGTGTGCGGGCAGGGTTTGGTGTTTTCATGTGGTTATTAGCTTGGGAGTGGGAGGTAGAGGGTGAGTTGGAGGACCTCTCCACTGAGCATGCACGGGTGCCTTCGCTATCATCTGCAGGGAGGGTGGGCAGGGATGGGGCAGCGGGGTTGGGGCGGGGTCTTGAGCGTGCTGGCTCCTCTTCATGTGTTTCTTCCAGTGAGGCTTGGCGTTCCTGCACTCCATCTTCTTCAAGGGTACGCTTCTGGCCCCGGGGGTCAGAGTGCTTGAGTGTTTTCGCTTGGTCCGGTGTGTGTTGTTTCTTCCTAACTGTTGAAGTGGGGGGAGTGGGTGAGTAGGGGGTGGCTCGGCCGCGGGCCCTCCCAGACCGCCGAGGGGCTCCCGGGTCTGCCTTCCCCCCACTCGCGGGGTGCTGGGGCATTGTTACGTGGGCAGCATGCCTGCTGGTGGTGGTGTGGGTGGCTGGGGTTGGCTGGAAAGGGAGTCAGAGGGAGTAGATTCTACCTGGAAGAGGCCGGGGTGAGGGGGGTTAGCTTGGAGAAAAGGAAAGAGGGTGGGGAAAGGGGTGCGTAGTGGGCTGAAGGGGGGGTAAAATGGGGTAGACAGTTGGAGGGGATGGGGGACCGCGGAGGGGGCGGGCTGGGGGGCAGAGGGGAGGAGGGTGGTGGGGAAGTTGGGGGGGGGGGGAACGGGGGTGATATAACGGGGGGTGAGTGGGGTGTGGGGAAGGGTGATGGAACCGACGGGGGAGGGGTGGAACAGAATTCAACGGGAGGTGGGGATGGGCAGGTGAGGCAAATGGGGGAGGGAAAGGGGGAGGGAAAGGGGGAGGGAAAGGGGGAGGGAAAGGGGGAGGGAAAGGGGGAGGGAAGGGGGGAGGGCAGAGGGGTAGGGGCGAAGGGTTGTTGGTGAGGGAACGGGTAGTCGAGCTCGTGTGAGCCAGGCAGTGGGTAATGAAGAGGTTGAGGGGCAGGAGGTGTGAACGTGGGAGGGCAGAGAGGGCACCGAAAGGAGGAGCTGTGGTGAATGGAGAAGAAGATGGGGGTCTGGAACACAGGGCACGGAGGGGATGGTGGAAACGGTGATAGGTGATAATAGCGGAGGGGTGGCCCGCAGGGGGGAGTGAAGGTGGAGGATATGAGGTAGGGGGGAGACTGGGGTGGTTTGGGGAAGAGGGCGAGAAGGCACAGGGGCAGGAACAGGGGGTGTAGAGGCTGGCTGCGAATGGGGAAAGCTGTCTGGTGCCGGGGTGGGACAAGTGGATCGCCGGAGGGACAGGGAAAGAGGGGTACCTCGATGGTGTCCACGCTGGGGACAGATGGGGGGGAAATGGCGGCTGGAAGGGGGCGGACGGCACGTAGAAAGGTGGGGGGCAGAGTGGGGGCGGGTAGCGGAAGGAAGGCAGGTGGGGGGGTAGAGGGGGTACGCTGCAGGGAGGGAAGTAGGGGAACATGTAGGTGAGGGTAGGGAGTGTGGGTGGGGGGGGGGGGGGGGGGGGAGAAAGAAGGGGCGGGACAGAGGGGGCAATAGCACGCCCTGGAACCTGTTCCTGTTACTCTTTCTTTCTTTTTTTTTTTTTTTTCTTTCTCCTTTTTTGTTTCTCCTTCTTCTCGTTTTCTTTGGTTGTGTTTCTAATGTGTGGGCAATGCTATCTTCAGGAACGTGACTGCTATCGGCGGGTACGTGACTGCTAGCAGCGGGTACATCACTACTAGCGGGGGGTATGCGACTGCTAGCGGCGTGTACGTGGCTGCTGGTAGCGGTGGTACGTGACTGCTAGAGGCGGGTACGTGACTGCTAGCGGCGGGTACGTGACTGCTAGCGGCGGGTTAAGGGTGCTAGCGGCGGGTAGGTGACTGCTAGCGGCGGGTATGTGGGCAAACTAGCGGCTGAAAGTGCGGGCAGTGCCGGCGGCAGATATGCTAGCTATGTAAGCTGGCGCGACGAGCGGCGCGTTCTTGCGGCGGCTATTGCATTCCTGCCCCTTCCACCCGTCTATGGGCATGTGCGTAAGCGAGATGGTAAACGTGCGGTGCGGGGAGGACGCGAAAACCTAAACTCAAAGCTATGTGATAAACAAAAAAAAAAACGATCAAATTAGGGTTAAAGGCAGTGAGCGCAACGGTGGCAACATGGCGTCGACGCGTCTCTGTCCTAAAGACGCTAGGGCGCCCAAGATACTAAGTCGATCGCGGCAGGGGATAGGGGCGCCTGCGTATCCGCCGCTAGCAAAAGCGACGATTTCGCGGCCTCCCACGTTTCCCTTCGCGGCCACCGACGGTCGCGTGCTAGGAGAGATAAGAAATCGACGCGTTATGCGGTGGGCCGCGAAAATAACCGAGTCGCGCGTAACTATTTGCTAGGAAAACGGCCTATTCTATAGGTCTAATCTAAGAAACTAGGGTCGAATGTCGAGAGAGAGGGAATCAGGAAGGATTAGAAAGGAGGGGAAAGGGTAGGGCGGGAGCAGCGTTACTGGCGGGAGCCAAGTCGAACTCGTCCCCGGGTGCTGTAACCGCTCGCTCCACCTCGCGCGATCGTTTCCCGCCACGCCGCGCTCGCCTCCGTTGGCCGCGATCGATTTCGACCAGTTCGCAAGCGGTTCCCGCGTGACGCGGGACCCTTGAGATCCTCTCGACACTCGTCACCAGCGCGACCCCTTCCTTCGAAACTCAAAAACTAACCGTTAGAAATCTTTATAACTACGATATAAACAACATTACTAACTCGTTTGTCCCTAAGCCACTCGAAAATAGTAGGCTTAGGTACCTTTTTAGTAGACTATAGTAGGTAGGTAAGAGCTAGGTCAAGGTAAAAGCGCCGGTCGGCGAGAGCAGTACTGGGCTGGTGACCTCCCGGGAAGTCCTCGTGTTGTACCCATTTATGCCCCTTGCTCGGCACGTGCCGGGGAGGGGCAAGCGGGAAAAAGAAAGGACGATTTTAGCGCGTCGCATTTTTCCAACCTCGTTTTTTTGCCCGAATGACGGCTCAGCGGGGTGGGGGGGCGCAAGAGAGGCTTGCCCGCGCGAAGAAACGCCCCGTGCACACGACCGTTGGGCGGTTGGAAGCCGCACGCGGTCGCGGGGGTGGAGAGCGGAAACGGGCAGCCGAGGGAGGGTGGGGGCGGTTGGATGGGACTGGGGTGTACGGGGGGCCAGAGAGTTGAGAAGGCAAGGGGATGGGCAGCAACGGGCAGGGGTTGGGCCAGCTGAGGGCAAGGAAAAAGGGCGGGCAGAGGGTGAGCAGAGGGGCGAGCGGTGCAAGGGAGGCACCAGAGGGAGGAAACCAGTTGCATCAAGGTGGGAGGTGAGGGGCTTGCAGGGGGGTGGAACAGGGGTAGGGAAGGGGCAGAACGGGAGGATGTGGGTAGGGGGGGTGCGGGGAGAAGAGAGAGTGAGTGAGTGAGAGAGAGAGAGAGAGAGAGAGAGAGAGAGAAAAAGAGGGAGAGAGAGGGTGGGAACGAGAGGGGGCTTGGGGTTTTGAAGGGCTAATGGTAGTAAGGGGGCAGCAAGGAGGGGGAGAAGGGGGGCGTAGCAAGGGGAAAGCAAAGGGCATGGGGGGAGGAGGGGAGGGGAAGGGAGGGAAGAGGCTGAACGTACAATGCGGAGAACCGAGGGGCATGGATGGTAGGGAACAAGGGCAGAGGTGCGGGAAATCAAGAACAGGGAGGGGAGAAGCGATGGGTGCGGGCAAAGCAAAGGAGGGGCAGCGGGGGGTACAAGGTAAGCACAGGAGGGAAGTAACGTGGGGCAGGGGGGAGGGGAAACCAAGGACAGGGGCACGAGCAGCCAGGGGCAAGGAGGGAACGGAGGTGAGGCACGGAGAAAGCAAGGGAGGTGCAGGGAGAGGGGAAAACGGGCGTGAGGGGTGGTGGAAAACGAGGGGCAGGGCGGAGAGGAGGGAGGGGCAGGAGGGGAGAAGCTGAGCACACAGAGGGAGGAAACGTGGGGCAGGGAGGTGGAAAGCCAAGGGCAAGGGGGGGAGAGTGGAGGTGCAGGGAGAGGGGGGAGGAGGGGAGCGGAGAAAAGCAGCGAGGTGCAGGGAGGGGAGACACCGAGCGCAGAGGGGCCAGAAACGAGGGGTGGGGTGCGGATTGGGGAGAGGCAGGGAGTGGAGTAGCTTAACGAGTGGAAGGAAGAAGCGTGCGGCAGAGTGGGGGAGGGGGGAGGAGAAGGTAAACGAGGGGAGGGCACGGGCGGGGAGGGACGAGCGGCGGGCGGTGGGAAACGGCAAGGGGGGGCAGGGAGGGTCAAAAGAGGCAGCGAGGGAGCGGGCACACGGAGGGTAGGGGCGGGGGGAGCGGATGGCACGAGGGGGCAGGGGGTGTGACTATGAAGGGGGGACCCTGGGCAAGGGGCGTGTACCGGTCGGGGCATGGGACGGACGTGGTACGATCATACCTCGGCTACTACGCCGGATCCCATCAGAACTCCGAAGCTAAGCGCCGGTGGGCGAGAGCAGTTATTCATTAATAAGGGAAAAGAAATACAAGCCAAATATTATGGTTTTTTCCAAAACGAGGAAAATTCGGCATGAGTGATTCCCTCTGAGTACGGTTTATATATATATATATATATATATATTTGTAGAAAAGAGGGAAGAAGAAGAAGGTTTGAGAAGTGAAAAGAAGTAGTAGGGAATAGAAAAGAGTGCTAAGAAGAGAAGTGGAGGATAGAAGAGGAGAAAGGAAAGAGGGAGGTGGGTAGAGGAGAGGAGAAAGGGAGAGAGACTAAGGGGAAGGGAACACCGCGGGACCAAACATGGCAGCAACCCGCCCAACAGCGCGGGCACAGCGTTTCAAGCACAGCCACTAAAGTTTCTACACATATGCATCATACATATATTGCATATCAGCGACACTCTCGAAGCACCCTGTGATGTGGTGCCAGGTTCCCTGCCCCGCACCCAAAGGAACTGGTGCGGGCATCCACCCATCGTCGGATCCCCCCAACTGCCGCACCGCATGCTGGATGATACATTGAGCCTGCGCGCGCTGCAGCGCCACGGAGAGGCGTGTAGTGAGTCCTGTCTCGAATATCCGTGCCGATCCGTCATCCCCCCCCCCCCAAATCCCTCCTCCGCTGTGCTATCCTCTTCGCGCTGAGCCCTAGGAACTGTCGCAACGGCTCGCTCAGTAGCCCGAAAGTCTTAGCTACGCACGCGTAAAACTCTGGAGCCGGCTGCAACCCCTCTAGGTGTGGCCCCCAGTGACGCAGCTTCTCTTGCACCCGTCTAGCTGCTGCCACCCCAATCTGTGTGGGGGTCGACCGTCTCAGCTGCACGTTCCCCTCCCGCTGTGGATCCGCTATGGAAACATCAACCAAAACCATCAGAGTCTGCCCCACGTCCCGGCAGGTGAGGTCTGGGATGCGGAAGGAGGTAGGTAAGAGCTAGGTCAAGGTAAGAGCGCCGGTTGGCGAGAGCAGTACTGGGCTGGGTGACCTCCCGGGAAGTCCTCGTGTTGTACCCATTTATGCCCTTGGTCGGCACGTGCCGGAGAGGGGCAAGCGGGAAAAAGAAAGGACGATTTTAGCGCGTCGCATTTTTCCAACCTCGTTTTTTTGCCCGAATGACGGCTCAGCGGGGTGGGGGGGCGCAAGAGAGGCTTGCCCGCGCGAAGAAACGCCCCGTGCACACGACCGTTGGGCGGTTGGAAGCCGCACGCGGTCGCGGGGGTGGAGAGCGGAAACGGGCAGCTGGGGGAGGGTGGGGGCGGTTGGATGGGACTGGGGTGTACGGGGGGCCAGAGAGTTGAGAAGGCAAGGGGATGGGCAGCAACGGGCAGGGGTTGGGCCAGCTGAGGGCAAGGAAAAAGGGCGGGCAGAGGGTGAGCAGAGGGGCGAGCGGTGCAAGGGAGGCACCAGAGGGAGGAAACCAGTTGCATCAAGGTGGGAGGTGAGGGGCTTGCAGGGGGGTGGAACAGGGGTAGGGAAGGGGCAGAACGGGAGGATGTGGGTAGGGGGGGTGCGGGGAGAAGAGAGAGAGAGAGAGAGAGAGAGAGAGAGAGAGAGAGAGAGAGAGAGAGAGAGAGAGAGGGAGAGAGAGAGAGGGTGGGAACGAGAGGGGGGCTTGGAGTTTAGGAGGGCTAATGGTAGTAAGGGGGCAGCAAGGAGGGGGAGAAGGGGACGTAGCGAGGGGAAAGCAAAAGGCATGGGGGGAGGAAGGGAGGGGAAGGGAGAGAAGAGGCTGAACGTACAATGCGGAGAACCGAGGGGCATGGATGGTAGGGAACAAGGGCAGAGGTGCGGGAAATCAAGGGCAGGGAGGGGAGAAGCGATGGGTGCGGGCAAAGCAAAGGAGGGGCAGAGGGGGTACAAGGTAAGCACAGGGAGGGAAGTAATGTGGGGCAGGGAGGGGAGAAACCAAGGACAGGGGCACGAGCAGCTCGGGGCAAGGAGGGAACGGAGGTGAGGCACGGAGAAAGCAAGGGAGGTGCAGGGAGAGGGGAAAACGGGCGTGGGGGGGTGGAAAACGAGGGGCAGGGTGGAGAGAAGGGAGAGGCGGGGAGGGGAGAGGCTGAGCACACAGAGGGGGGAAACGTGGGGCAGGGAGGTGGAAAGCCAAGGGCAAGGGGGGGAGAGTGGAGGTGCAGGGAGAGGGGGGAGGAGGGGAGCGGAGAAAAGCAGCGAGGTGCAGGGAGGGGAGACACCGAGCGCAGAGGGGCCAGAAACGAGGGGTGGGGTGCGGATTGGGGAGAGGCAGGGAGTGGAGTAGCTTAACGAGTGGAAGGAAGAAGCGTGCGGCAGAGGGGGGAAGGGGGAAGGAGAAGGTAAATGAGGGGAGGGCACGGGCGGGGAGGAACGAACGGCGGGCGGTGGGAAACGGCAAGGGGGGGCAGGGAGGGTCAAAAGAGGCAGCGAGGGAGCGGGCACACGGAGGGTAGGGGCGGGGGGAGCGGATGGCACGAGGGGGCAGGGGGTGTGACTATGAAGGGGGGACCCTGGGCAAGGGGCGTGTACCGGTCGGGGCACCGGATGGACGTGGTACGATCACACCTCGGCTACTACGCCGGATCCCATCAGAACTTCGCTAAGCGCCGGTGGGCGAGAGCAGTGATTTATTAATAAAGGATGAGCAAATACAAGCCGAATATAATAGTTTTTCCAAGACTATGAACTTTCGGCATGACTAATTCCCTGAGGACGGTATATATATTAGTAGGGAAGAGGGGAAAGAAAGAAGAACAAGAAAGGATCAAGGAGTAAGAAAAAGTAGTAGGATATAGAAGAGAGTGGTAGGAAGAGAAGTGAAGGATAGAAGAAGGGAAAGGAAGAGGGAGGTGGGAAGAGAAGAGAAAAGAGGGAGAGAGACTAAAGAGGAGGAAACTCCTAGAGGGCAAACACAGCAGCCATCCGCACGAGAGCGCGGGCACTGCGTTTCAAGCACAACCACTATTGTTTTTTACACATATGCATCATATATATACTGCATGTCGGCAGCACTCTCGAAGCACCCTGTGATGTGGTGCTAGGTACCCTGCCCCGCACCTAGTGGGACAGGTGCGGGCATCCACCCGTCGTCGGATCCCCCTGACTACCGCACCGCATGCTGGATGATACATTGAGCCTGCGCGCGTTGCGGTGCCACGGAGAGGCGTGTAATGAGTCCTGCCTCAAATATCCGTGCCGATCCGTCATCCCCCCCTCCCCTATCCCTCCTCCGCTGTGCTATCCGCTTTGCGCAGAGCCCCAGAAACTGACGCAGCGGCTCGCTGAGAAGGCCAAATGACTCAGCCACGCACGCATAGAAGTGTGGTGCCGGCTGCAACCCCTCTAAGCGCGGCCAACAGTAACGCAGCTTCTCCTGCACCCGCCTAGCTGCTGCCACTCCAATCTGTGTGGGGGTCGCCCGACTCAGCCCCACATTCCCCTCCCGCTGTGTATATGTTATGGAGACATCCAAAAGAACCATCAATCTCTGCCCAACATCGCGACAGGTGAGGTCTGGGATGCGGGAGGAGGTGCCTACACGGCCTGTGCATCCGACTGGTCTCGGCTACGGCGCTGGCTGCTGCTCTGTCTGGTCCCTCGGTGCCTCCTCTCCGGTCGTCTCTCTCCCCCTGTCTTCTCCTCCACCCACCTGTCCTCTCCCCTCCCCCTCTCTACCCTCCCCTACCCCTGCCAACCCCTTTGCTCGATCCCTTGCTACCTCTCTCACTCCCTGGTCCTCCCCTCCCGATCCCGCTGCCCCCCCTGCACCTCCGTCCGCTCTTTGCTGCTCCCGCCCCTGCCCCACCCTTGAGCTCAAACCCGGAGGCGCGGTGCCCTGGGCCTGCGGCCTCTGCTGTCCCCCCTCCCCGTCATGGCCCGTCTGCTCCCCCTGCTGTCCCCTCTGCCAACCCGCCCCTCGCGCCACCCGACCCCGCAGCTGATGCTGTCCCCAGTGCCCCCCACCACCCTGCTGTCCCGCCTGGCCCCTCTGCTCCAGCGGTCCCCCAGCCCGTGTCCCCTCTCCCACCACCGGCTGTCCCTGCAGTCTCGCTCGAACCGCCTCCAACTGTGTGAACAACGTCACCGCGAAGCCCGTCTCGACCGCAAAGTCTCGAAGCATGAACTTTACCGTGTCACGGATGGTCGTGGCGACGCCGAATCGTTGGCACCGAACCGCGTGATAAGGCATCGTCATGTCGTCGAATGCCTGTCTACAGGAGCACTGACCTGCAAGGGCTAACTGAGGGATAGGGAGACCAAGACGGGATGATGAAGCCACCTGCCACTGCGCCTCCGGGAAGCGCAATGGATCAGTGTACGGCACCGACTGCAACCACGCTCCTGCACCTCCGCCCTGAAGGGAAGTCAAACGGGCAAGGTGCAAGGGAGAGGTGTGACGGGCACGCACGGCCTCCAAAGCGTGCGCCTTCAGAAGATGGCTCGCTCTTGCAAAAAGAGAATCGGGAGAGGCAGAAGCGCAAGAGGGAGGGAGGAGAGAGAGGACGTCAGGTGGGAGACCCTCTAGCGCCGTCTGCAGAGCCCGGTCGATCTGCTCTGGCTCCCCTGAAGCGAAGCTCTGCCGAAACACCCCGCCACACGCAGGGAGAGAACAGAGAATGGGTGCACACTACACCCAAGACACACGTAACTCACCGGGGCGATGCGCGCCATGCGCCGAATGCCGAAGCCCCCGAGGCGGATGGGGAGGAAGATCTGGTCTCGGAAGGCCTGTCGCACGTCCTCACGACAAGCCTAGGTCCCTGGCGCTAGAAGCTGCTGAAAAGTCTCACCCAGGCGTGCGTCCCACTGTGTGAAGCTAGAGAGTACTGCGGGCGAGGGAGGGACGGTCCTCGACAAGTACTGCGGGCGAGTGGTGACACACGCCGAAAAAAGGCGAGCGGCTGTCTGGGGCTGGCGCAACCTCGGAAGCCAGGGTAGCACCCGCCCTATCCTCTCGAGACGATCTGAAAGGCTGCGCTCCACAAACGAGACGTTGCCCAACGGCACGCCTGTCACCGTGAGCCCTCGACGTGCGACCTCGATCCCCAGGCTCGTGAAAGCTTCCGTATCCCTGGACAGGTAGGCCTCTGTTTGGTAAACGAGGCACTTGTGCAACTGGACCGCAAGGCCCATCTCGCTCAAGCGCCTCACGATCTCGGCAAAATGGTGTATCACCCAGTCTGGGGGACCTAGCACATACGTGTCATCGGCGTACGACCAGAGCTGGACATCCCCCTCTGTTAGGATAGGCTCCAAAGCAAGGTGCTGCGTGAGAGCGAACAAAAAGGGACTGAGGGCGTCTCCCTGGCGAGTGCCACGCTCCGAGTGCATCGTAACCACTCCCGTACCTGACCTGTAGTGAAGGTCAGAGGGCGTCCCGTAGAAGAGGCCGATGAAGGGGATCAGACACTGAAACTCCGGACTGGCCTGCAGAGCCTGAAACATCCTGTCTCGGTGGAAAGAGTTAAAGGCATTCGCCACGTCCAGCTGCAGGACCACCCAGTCTGGGTGGTCAGCCAGAGCACGGCGGACGCCCCTAACCACGACCTCCGTCCCGCACGTCACCCCCACCCCAAACTGCTGCGACGCCACGTCACCCCCAACCCAAACTGCTGCGACGCCAGGAAGACTCTCGCCATCTGGTCACGAAGCTGGAGACAGACTGCTCGCGAGAGAATGCGGACCAACACCTCGCCAATGGCAATCGGCCGAACATCCATGTTCGACTTCGCCAAAGCCACAAGGGTGGAGGACGCCAGCAATGAGCGTGCAGCTGGAGCGCAACGACCTCAAAACCAATGCTGGTACACAGCCAGGACGAAATGGAGACTCTGAGGGAAAGCCAAGAAAGTGTCTCGGAGATGCTTAGCGACCCAACCGTACGGTCCTCCCGAGGAGCCCCGCGGAGCTGTAAAGATCGCGCGACGTAAGTGATCCACTGAGAGCACGAGGGCAGAACCCTGGAAACCCGGCAGCCAAGCTGGGGTCGGCCTCTCCGCGGGGGGGTGCTTCGACCGCAGGCGCTGTATCGTCCCCTGTGTATCTGGGGCTGCCTCTGCGGACTCGAGAGCCGCGCAGGCCCGTGACGTCTCATTGCATGCTGCCAGGCGAAGGCAACGTGCAATGCGTCGCTCGTCTGCTGTGGAGGGATCGGTGACGGTGCATGATCGGTGACCTGTGCGCCAAGGGAGGGGGGTGCGGCGGCCTAGTGCATCTGAGAGTAGCTCATCCCACTCACCTCGACCAAAGCGGGAGATGCAAGTTGCGATGGCAGCCGTGTGCGAGCGGTTAGGTGGCGTTGCTGGAGCGAGGAAAAGGGTCGGCGCTGCAGCGAGGAGGAAGGTAGGGCCAGCAGCCTCCAGGTCCTGGGAAATGCGGGCTAAGATCGCACTGAGGACGTCGAGATATCCTCCGCGGACCCTCTCCGGGACACGCCGGAGAGGGCGTGCATGACTACGATCAGGCGAGAAGTACTCCGTCCAGTCCACCGAGTCGAGCACCCGCCACTGGGCGTCAGTGAACTGTATCCCGATCACCCGAGGCTGTGAGAGGGAGGGGAGGATCGAGGTGGTGTCATAGACGGCGTGTGCCCTGCGAGCTGCGTCCGCAGGATGGCAGAAGAGCGTGTGGTGCTGAAGCGCGCGTCGGTTCGCGAGAGAGCTCCTGCAGGTGGGGCATCTCACGCTCTGGTCGGGTGATGTCGCCGTGTTGGTGGGGTCCATCGAGGCCGTGGCGTCGGAACAGGCCGTGGAGGAGTCCTCAAGGGCGGCCTCAACTCCAAGGGGATCGCCTGGGATAAGGGTGGGAGAAGATTCACCAGCCCTGTGCATGAGGGGTGTCGGCGGAGGTGGCGGTGCTGCCACACTGGGTGGGGCCGGGCTCCCCGGCCATACTGGCCTCAGAGCAAGAGGGGGGGGAAGTGGAGGTGGGCCTGAAGTGCGTGCCGTGGTGCGCCCCTCTCCCTCGGCGGGGTGGGGTCGAAGCAGCGGCTCAGCTACCCCAGGCGGAAGGGTATCAGCAGGGGCGGAGGCCTCATACCTGATGCTGGTGCCCTCCTGTGCCACGGGTAGTATGCCGGCAACAGGCTGAATGGGGGGAGGCGCCACTACATCTGGGTGCGAGTGATACGGCCTCGGAACCAGGTCCGTCTCCATCGGGAACGGGAGTGACACGCCTAGTAGTCGGTGGGGTAAAAGAAGGAACAGAGCGGGTGACCTCCACATACGTCCGGGTTCGGACCTGTGGGGCTGGTAGGGTGGGGGCAGCCGGGGAGCTGCTGGGGCTCTGTATCGCCAGCAAGTCTGAGATTGCAGCCCTCACCTCCTGTGGGGTCCCGGTGGGCTGGTGGTGAAGGTAGGAGGGCTGGCAGGGTAGAGGGTGGGGTGGGGCGTGCTGGCTGAGTGGAGCTCAGGTATGGATCCTGCTCTAGAAAACCCCCTTGGCTCTCCTCCGGGACCATGGGTTGCGGTAAGGGGCCGTCGACACAAATGAGGGGGGAGGTATCGGAGGAGGAGTCAGTAGCGTCTGCCATGGGCACATCCCTCCTCTCGTCGGCCTCCATCCCGGCGGCGCCCGCGGTTGCCGCCACCTGGGGGGGATTTAGAGGAAGGGAGAGGCATCCCGGGAGTGGGTGGGCTGGATCGCTCCCCTGGCCCTGTAGGGAGGCAGGTACGGGAGAGGGGTGTGTGTTTGGTGGTCGGCCTATAGGGGTGAGGCCTGGTGCGGGTTCAGCGGGATGTGGGGTGAGTAGGGGCGCCTGGGGGGGAAGGGAGGGAGGGGGGAGTAAATGAGCTGACCCCTTGCCGCCTTTGTCTCTCTTCTTCCGTCGGCGGCCAACCTGGTGTTGTCCATCCATGCCTGCTGGTGCGGGAAGGGGAGGCTGAGAGGCCAAGGGGGTGGGTGGGGGAGCATGGGTGGTTGGCCAGGTGGGGGAAGCTCAGTGTTCATGCCCTCCCTCTCCAAGGCATCCCTCTCAGTGGGGATAGGCCGGGTGGGCTGTGCGTGGGGGGCAATGGCTGCCCAGCGGGGCCACTCGTGGGGAAGGGGGCCGAAGGAGGGGTTTGTAGGTGGAGGGGAGCAAAGGGCTGGAGTGATGTACACGTTAGGGCGTTGTACCTGCGGTGGGAGGAGTGAGGTCTGAGCAAAAGCATTAACGGGGGGTGAGGGCCTGGCCCGAATCCCCCCTCCATCTCCTTTGGAGCCCTGTGGAGTAGCGTGAGGTGCTGGTTGGTTCGGTTCCCGGAGGTGGGCAGCCAAAGGTGCAGGTGGAGGGCGACGTTGTGGGATGGTGTAACGGTTGGGACTAGCTGCCTGAGGCTGGGAGGCCGAAGGTGGTGATGGGGGTGGAGGTGGAGGGGTGGAAAGAAGGGGTGGGTTCTGGGGCTTGTCCTTATGAGGGGTGCTGCCCTGGGCGTTCCTATCACCACACCCTCTCTCTGTGAGCCCCTCCACCAGGGCTCCTTCACCCCTTAGTACCAATGGGCCCGGTCCCTGTGGGTCGCTCCCACCAGCCCGGGGAAGGTGATGGAAGAGGTGGCGGGTCGGAGGTGTGGAGGGCATGGGGTGGGAATTAGAGGTTGAACCCAACACATCGGAGATGTGTACCGCTGTGGGAGGGGGGGGACCCGGTGGGGGGGGAGGTAGGGGCTGAGTGTTTGGGGTCGGGGAGCAGGGCTCCTCTAAGAAAGCCCTGGCCTTGGCTGCCCCGCCTATGGCATGAGAGTGCCTGCCGAGGCATAGGAGGGGTATTCCTAGGGAAGGGTGGGCTGAAAGGTAGGGGTGGATGGAGGCGCCCTCCAAAAACCTAGTCCTCGTTGTCTCCTCTGGTTCCTCCCTTGGTCCACCTGCTAGCATGGGGTTTGGGAGTAGGGGAGAAGGGGAGGTCTCATAGTTCACCCGTTTCCCTTTCCATCGTGTGGCTGGCAGGAGCAAGAAGCCTTTGGAGCTGGTCCACATGGACTTGGTGGGGCCGCTGCCGGTGCAAGGGCACAAGGGGGAGCGGTATTTCCTTACAATTGTGGATGATTGGAGCAGACTCATGTGGGCGTATCCGCTGAAGCAGAAGGATCACGCCGCCTCTACGATACGGGACGATTGGCTGCCGTTCGTGGAGAAGCAGGCGGAGTGTGTAGTGAAGCGGATTAGATCAGACCGGGGTGGTGAGTTCTTGGGAGCTGAGATGACGGCCTGGCTCAA